CCCTAACCCAGTATGTCTCAAACTCACTGCCATCAAGGCAATTCCAGCTCATAGTGACCCTGTAGGGAAGAGTAAAATGGGCTCTGTGGGTAACTCTTCTTGGGAGTACCAAACCTTATCTTTCTAAGTTGATGGTTTTGAACTGCTGACCTTGCAATTAGCAGCCCAATGCATACCCCACCAGGGCTCCTAAACCAATGACTCAAACCAAACCAAACTCGATGCCACTGAGTCAATGCTGACTCATAGTGACCCCCTGTGGGTTGCTGAGACTCTAACTGTTGTAGGGAGTAGAAAGCCCAGCTTTTCTCCCTCAGAGCTGCTTATGGTTTCAAACTGCCAAGCATGTGGATTTCAGCCCAACGTGTAACCACTACACCACCAGGGTTCCCAGAAATCAATGACTAGTGTCCTTGTAAAAAAGATACCAGACATTGAGACAGTTCTAGATGGAAGATGGTCATGTGACAAGAGGTAAGTCAAGGGCTATCTGGGTTAACAGAAGCTGGAAATGATCTTTCCCTAGAGCCTTTCAGAGAGCTCACCCCTGTTGAGATCTCAAATTCAGACTTCTGGCTTCCAGAACTATGGGAAACTATAACTGACCCAAGCCACGGTATTTTCCATTGCTTCACATAGATGTGAAAGTTGGACACTGAATAAGGAGGACAGAAGAAGAATCGATGAATTTGAAATATGGTGCTGGAGAATGTTGAAAGTACTACTGAAGGCTAAAAGGCCAGACCAGTCCGTCTGGGAAGAAGTACGGCCAGAGTGCTCCTTAGAGGTAAGGATAGTAAGACTTCATCTTGCATGCTTTGGACATGCTGTCAGGAGAGGCCAGTCCCTGGAGGAGGACATCAAGCTATCTATGTAACAGGGCAGTGAAAACGAGGGAGGGACTCAACGTGAGGAACTGCCACAGTGGCTCTGCAGCAACAGGCTCAAGGTTAGGAACAACTACGAGGATGGGGCCGGACGGGCAGTGTTTCATTCTCTTACACATAAAAGGCTTGCTGAGGGTTGGAACCTACCCCATGACACCTGATAACAACAGCTATTTCTATTATTTTCAACTACACACTGAGGTACCCAGCAGCCCCCAGAGATGAACGTACCTGTCCATCAAAACGTATAGACAGTCGTTCAGACTTTCACTTCAGGAGAAAGACGAGACTGTTTACTCCCGTAAGGAGTTCCAGTTCAGAAACTAGCAGGGCAGTTGCCCTGTCTCATAGGGCTGCTTTGATTTGGAATCCACTAGATGGCAAAGGATTTTGAGGTTCTGTGTCTTTTTGGCACATGGCATTTATATTCTAGCATTCATTTTGTAAAAATAAACAAAAAACAAACACCCCACAGATCTAGGAAGAAAACAAAAAGACACATGATACCCCTTTCCTGCCACCCGATCCCCACCCAACACCCACACACACACAGTCTGGTAAAATAATAAATACAGAGTACAGGGCATAGCAGAATCGTCACCTCCACCAAGGGAAGGCAGGACAAGGGTTGCAGCAGAGGCAGTAGTTCCGACTTGAGAGACAATAGAGGTCTGCCAGGCATTCACAGGAATGAACTTCATTGGGCAGAAAATACGTCCATCCGTAAAACAAAATGGGAAGAGGTAACCAAACCCTGGAGAAATACCAGTGGGATATGATGGGGTATGTGAACACCCAATTCACAAAAGAGGAAATACTATCTGTTCAAGTCTTTGAAAACTTCTCTACTGGGCATTTTAGTGTTTGTCTTATGAATCTACATCTGTAGATATTACAAATCTATAACACAAAACAAAACAAAACTCACTGCCAGCAAGTGGATTCTGACTCACAGTGACCCCATAGGCTACGACAGAATTGCCTCACAAATTTTCGAGACAATTACATAAGTCTTTACAGGAGTAGAAAGCCCTATCTTTCTCCCAGAGAGTGGCTGGTGGTTAAGAAATGATGACCTTGCAATTAGCAGTCCAATTCATAACCACTCTACCACCAAACTCCCTAGAAGACATTGCCAAATGTCCCCAGCCTATCTGATGTCCTGTCGTTTTCTTCTATTTTCTATGTGGCTTGAGTTTAATATTTAGGTCTTTACTACTGAGGAATATATTACATTGTAAGGTTATTAATCCTCTCAAATTATTAAAAATTTAACCCACCATTACTTATTAAATAAGCCTATACAAGCTTTTAAAATTTAACTACCATAGTTCCCAGTGGACTCTACTTTTCCAATTAAGCCCTTACTTCCTTTTCCATAGGTCTACTTGCATCTCGTGATTCTCTGAATAATTAACGCTAATAGAAATCCCAGGGCTGCGCAGGCCTCGAGGTAACCAGACAGTATCTAAAGGCCTCACGGTTTTGGTTTGGGAGGAAAGCAGATGGTGAAGAGTTCTGGGGACGAGGACTACACACTTGCTGACTACTCACAAGCCACCCCATTGAGTGCTCACAACCCTATGGAGGACGGTTATTTTCCCAGCTTACAGACGCGAACGTCAAAGCTGGCCGTGAGTGACACACCCCATGTCCAAAAAGTGCCGCCTAGCCAGAATTTACACCAAAGTTCATATAACTCTAAAGCCAAACCAAAAAAAAACACCCAAATCCAGCACCACTAAGCTGATTCCCACTCATCATGACTCTGTATAGGGTTTCTGACCCTGTAAACCGTCACAGGAGCAGAAAGCCTCACCTTTCTCCCGAGGAGCGCCTGGTAGGTTTGCAGTTTGCAGCCCATGAATAAGCACTGTGCCACCAGATCTCCTACATCCAGATCCACTGATCCAAGCTTTTCCCACTTCCCCCAAGGTTCCCCACCAGGGGCGATTTGGACCCTGCCCAGAGGGCATGTACCAACATCTACTCTGGAGGCAGTTTTAGTAGCCATGGCTCTGGGTAGGAGGGGCTACTACAGGAAAAGGCCAACTTTCCTACAGTGCCTAAGACTAAATGTCGCCTACAAAAATGACTATCCTCTTCAAAGTATCAACAGCACCAAGGTTGAGAAGCTCTGTACACATTAGTCATAGGGCTTAAAAAAAAAAAAACATACACAAAGCAGACCAACAGTAAATCTTAATTAAGATAGCGTCACTTCACAATAAAATCAAGTTGGGGTCAGTTTTAAATATTGTCATTTCACTAAGTAAATCTTTACATTTAGCAGCGCACACATTACACTGGTGATTCTGAAGTTATTGAGGGTAAGCCACATATTAGGGGTTTAGAAGCATGCTAAAAATAAAGTGCTTATGCAAAAACAACTGGGTTAAGCTTTCCTTCTCCCTCTGGCTCACTGATGCCATCCTGACCCCTATTTCTCTGGCGGACCTCTTCCTCTCTCCCAGCTCCTTCAATGAGGGATTCCCTGTGTACAGGACTTCTAAGACCGTGTATCTTTATGGGAGCAGATAGCATCACCACAGGGGCTGCTGGGTTTGAACTGCTGACCTTGAAGTTAGCCCAATAGAAATGTTGAATTTAAAAGGTAGTCCTATTTTTCTACCGAGCTCCAAACCTTGCTTTTCAACTATCTGCTGCATTTTACAGTAAAATCATTTGGTAAAGTAAAATCGTTTTGAATTCTGTTCAGGATATCATATATTATCCTCTCAGAAGCTAGAAACCCAGCCATCTTTGATATCTTACCCTCTCTCATCCCCAAAAGCATTCAGACTCTTCCAATTCAACTCAGAACATCTGGGCAAGTGCTTACAGGGCGTGAACGGGAAGTAAAGCAAAGTGGTTAGGGCCAGGCTGCATAGCCAGTCCCTTTCCTTATTTCCAGAGTGGGTTTGGATTCTGGAGAGGCTAACGAATTCATAGATGCAAAGCACTTAACAGGGAATTTGGCATAAAGTAAATGCTCAATAAATTAAGTAAAATTATCATTTTACTTTAATGCTCAATAAATTAAAGTAAAAAGGGTTAAAACAACAGCTCAAAATTTGCTTTATTTGGGGCTACAAAGATACCTTAAACACAGATCAAAAACAATTACTACATATTAAACAAAATGACCTCATTTTGCTAAAAATGAAGAAAGTTAGGGGTAAGCCCTGAACTGCTGATTAACAGATTATGATCAAAGAGTTTTAGGAGGTCCCAAATCCAGTCAAGGTGCCCTGTAAAGAATCAGAGGTACCTTGTCTAGACTGTGACACCCACAAAGAAAAGTTTTATATAAATTAGTAGTATTATAAATGAAAAAATAGCAAGTTCCCCCGCCCAAAAAAATCAACCCTAATTAATAGAAAAAAAATTGTTAAAAATGCTTTTTCTTGAATTCCTAAGAAAAGCAGAAAAAAAATCTTGAACCTGGCGCTATCGCATCAATACGGATCACGGTGGCCCATGCCTTAGAGAACTGATCTACTGGTTTTCTTGGCTATAACTTTAGAGAACCAGATCACTGGGCCTTTCTTCCACGGTGCCACTCAGGGTCCTTATCATCACAAGGAGACCAAAGATACCAAATTGTGGAGTTAGTCTTAAACATTGCACCCCAGAAAAAGGTGTCCCTGATCCACAAACAAGACCCACTTCCACTGAGAAAAAGGATTTCTCGCATTACCTTAGCTGAATAATAGTCTATAGCAAGCCTGTTGCTGCCGAGTCAATTCTGACTCTTTGTGACCCTAAAAAAATCACTGCCATAGAGTCAATACTGACTCACAGCAACCCCGTAGGGCAGGGGAGAACTGCTCCTTGGGTTTCCAAGACTGCAACTCGTTATGGGAGTAGAAAGCCTCATCTTTCTTCTGTAGATGGGCTAGTGGTTTCGAACTGCTGATCTTAAAGTTAGCAGCCCAGCCCAGTGAGTTACTACTGCACCACCGGGGCTCCAATAGTGACTCTACAGGACAGAGAATTGCCCCATATGGCTGTCAGATTGACAGACGCAAGCTGCCACAGCACTGAGTGGCTGGTGGGGTCTATCCAACCTTTAGTTTAGCAGCTGAGCCCTTTACCAGTACCCTCCCAGAGTTCCTTCTGCTTCTATGGATACATATAAAATAGTGCTTTGCTTAAAAGTTGGCTTTTCCCAGACATTGGGGGCGTCCAACAGAGCAGCAGGG